CCTCAGAGTCCCAGCAGGAGGCCAGTCCCTGTGCTCCTCAGAGTCCCAGCAGGAGGCCAGTCCCTGTGCTCCTCAGAGTCCCAGCAGGAGGCCAGTCCCTGTGCTCTTCAGAGTCCCAGCAGGAGGCCTGTGGGCATGTCAGGGTCAGGGTCTTGAATCCAGGAGAAAGCAGAAACCAGGGTTCTAGGCCACTCTTTCCTCTTACTAATATATTTTTTAAACATATGTTCTGTCCCAACACTGTGGTCACTTTTCTGTCTGGAATGACTGCTCTCAAACTGTGACAGAAACGAACCATTCAATTCAAATAACTTTATCCGTGATTTCATTTGCAGACGGACCCGTGGGGATACACACAAACAGAGGCAAATACACACAGCCACCACAGCGCCACCTATCATTATCATTATTATTATTATTATTCTCGAGGTTTGAAAGTGAGATACCTCAGATTTAAATCGCAAACACACACAGCAGATGTTGTGAAGGAGCGTGTCTGTGGTTTTCCAAAGGAGCAAGGAAAAGAAAAGCTTTAAAACTAGAATTTCTACTGAAGCTATTTTATACACCTTTCAAACTCTTATCCAATCAATTTTAGTATCCATTTTTTTCTCAACCATAATAACATATATTTTATTTTTTTTCAAATGTGGACATGACACTACATCACTTCCATTTCTCATATCGTCGTCTTGTCACACAAATGAAAAGGAGCAGAAAGTAGAAAATAATCTTTTGTTTCCTGCCCCTTCCTTAAAACAAATGAAAAACACAAGATGTACTTCAGCACCCCTCCTTTAAACTGTTTTTATTGTATTTGTTTTAAAAATTCTTCAACATTTGCGTCACACACTTGGAGTCTCTCCGACTGCATCTGTGTAATATTGCTTCTGCCTCAGGATCTTCCAAACCTGCTTTTATAATTAAGCATTGTTTACTTTGTTAATCGACTTCTGAACTATTGAAACTGTAAAGACAATACTATCTAAATGCATTCTCCGTCGTAACTTAGAGAAATCCCACAGAGACGAGGAGGAGGAGAAAAAGAGTCCAGACCAGGAAGAACCAGGAAGTACCATCGCATTAGTCCTAGTCTCAGGTCTCTGCACCTGAGGACTGGACTCTCCATGGCCTCAAACCAAAGTACATCTGTGCCATATGAACTCTGAGGAGCACAGGGACTGGGACTCTGAGGAGCACAGGGATCAGCCTCCTACTGGGACTCTGAGGAGCACAGGGACTGGTCTCCTGATGGGACTCTGAGGAGCACAGGGACTGACTTCCTGCTGGTCTCAGAGTCAGGACAAAACTTGGGGAGGCAACGTTTCAGATTCATGCAAAAAATCAGCTAAAACAGTCTTCCTGAAAATGTGAGACAGGCTTCTTCTCTGACAATGTTCAAGTTCAGGTTAAAAACAGGTTAAAAATACAAATAAACATGACATTTGGAAAGAAAACCCCCAAAAAGTATGTTTTGGCTCCAGTCCGAGTATTTTAAGACTCTTTCAAACACCTTTAAAACTCAGCAGATTAAAAAGTAAAGAAAGTCTAAAAGTTGATTCAGTTGTTTGCGAAACTATCTCAAAGCGGTGCTCAGATAAAACGGCGTCCCACCACCGTCCCGCCACCGCCGCCGCCACGTTGCTACACCCTCTCGCTCTCTCCCATGGTAATTAGGTCTCGCATTAAAAACACGCGGGCACATATCAGCGGCACGGCGCAAAATCTGAAAACAACATTGTCCTAATCAAACCGGCTTTAGTGTTGAAAGCGGTCGCGCCGATTACCATATGCTAGCCGCGCCGCTAACAAAGGCTTTCCCAGGCTTTGAAGCTAAAACACACAGAACGCCATTGATGCCAGCGCTCAATGCTACACGGCTAACGCTATAATATGATGCATATGTTGTAGCGATGGGATTGCATGGGATTAGCCAGGACCCCTCCCTCTTAACACACACAGAGACACACACAGAGAGACACACATACACACAGAGACACACTCAAACACAAGCAGACATACACATACAGACAACATAGACCCACACATGCACCCACAGAGACACACAGACAAACACACACAAACACACACACACACACACAGACAGACACACACACACAGAGGGGGTGACATGCCGTGTGGGAGAGACACCCACAGAGTTTAGACACGTCTGGATTGGATTATGTGATGTAATCCACACATAAACATTCAGTGTGTGTGTGTGTGTGCGCGACGAATAATAACAATACATTTAAGAGCAAAGATAAAATCCTTCAGTGGTTGCAGCAAAACAGCAGATTTTAGTGTCATGAATTTGATATACTGCCTCCCCATGTCCTGACTCTGGGACCAGCAGGAGGCCAGTCCCTGTGCTCCTCAGAGTCCCAGCAGGAGGCCAGTCCCAGTGCTCCTCAGAGTCCCAGCAGGAGCCAGTCCCTGTGCTCCTCAGAGTCCCAGCAGGAGCCAGTCCCTGTGCTCCTCAGAGTCCAGTTGGTTCATATGTGTAATAGCAGTTACTCGGTACAAGCTTAAAATAAGATAAGACAAACTTTATTTATATTATAATAATCTTTCTCATTCACTCAAACATTTTAGTTTTTTGCTTCCTCCACATTCCATTCCTGAATTCCCTTCATGAAAACCATCCAGACCAGGACCAGACCCGGGCCTCGGACTCGGATAGCTGTGGAGACGGAGGGACCTGTCATTCCTGCACTGGAGCAATTTGCTGTCTGGGGGCCACAAAGCAGGGGCCACAGGTCAAATAAGTGCCGTGAGGGGCCGTTTTCTCATGGTAATAACGCGCCTGCGGGGTCCCAGGCCTGTTAGCCCGACCACGGTGTCAGCGCCACCACGGTATCAGCGTGACAAACGAGGATCCGCACCAGAGGAATGCGCACAAAAGCCAGACTCAAGATTTCATATTACTGTTGTTTTGATTGTTTGTTGTGATGTCACATGTATCAACCAATGAACAATGAGGGGAAAGTCCTTCTCTGTCTTTGCATAATTACCCGGTTATTGATTGACAACATTAAAAACTTTGCTAAGTTCATGGAGCGAGAGAATGCATTTTACCAGCGACACATTGTACAGTATGGGAGGGATTCAGCACCATGGACAGCGCAGAACAGTGACCGACAAAAAGAGCAATAATAATTCAGTACGATTCATTTAAATGTGTTTGTCTGTCTCCCTGAATCACAACAGCGGGCGTGTCCGAGGAATGCACAAAGTTGTGGATACGCCAACAACAGATCAGAGAATCAAAGAGGATTCTGGAACGCAGGAAATGCAATAATAAGGAACACAGAGAAGATGTTGGTCCATAGAGAGCGGGATGACCATTGTCCATGAATGTAGATTAAGATTAAGATCAGCCTCAGTCCTGGATCTACAGCCTCAGTCCTGGGTCTACAGCCTCAGTCCTGGATCTACAGTCTCAGTCCTGGATCTACAGCCTCAGTCCTGGATCTACAGCCTCAGTCCTGGATCTACAGCCTCAGTCCTGGATCTACAGCCTCCGTCCTGGATCTACAGCCTCAGTCCTGGATCTACAGCCTCTGTCCTGGATCTACAGCCTCAGTCCTGGATCTACAGCCTCCGTCCTGGATCTACAGCCTCAGTCCTGGGTCTACAGCCTCAGTCCTGGATCTACAGCCTCAGTCCTGGGTCTACAGTCTCAGTCCTGGATCTACAGCCTCAGTCCTGGATCTACAGCCTCAGTCCTGGATCTACAGCCTCCGTCCTGGATCTACATCCTACACAAGCGTAAAACATTGAACAATACATATACTAATTTTAAAAGAATTAATGAAAGTTAAAATGCATTTTAAATTAATTCATACATTTTTTATAGCCCTGATTTTTCAACATCTTGGAGAAATTTACAACAAATAATCTATGATCTTTAAGCGGTGATGGGAAAAATACATTTTTCCAATATAAGATTAAGATTAGGATTAAGAGATCCTTTATTGGTCCCACATTGAGGAAATTTCAGTGTTGCATCGTCAGTTACACAACATTAAGAATGAGGAGCACGCAGCACAAGATAAATGATTAATAACTCTATAGTAAATACAATAAAATGATATAAAAGTTCTAAGCATAAAAGAAACACCTATAACATCTATATCTTTAGCATAATATTGTTAGCTGGTTAATTAGAATGTTTTACAATTGATGTGCTTATGTGCTTGATTTATCTATTTATCGTTGCTATTTCATAATCGTGTGTTATTGACGTCCCACTGAGAGAGAAAGTACAGTAGGAAGTCCTTGTATGGGCACAGGGGGTGTGGATGGCACGTGTATCTGCCAACAGCCTGTAAGGAACCATGAGTCACAGGTTACGGCAGAAACAGCAGGAAAAGCAGAGCAGAATCATGCGCCATCTACTGGACACTGCAGGTACTACAACATGAAACTGCCAGCGCAAATTCTCAAGTATGTAGGCTTTTGAAATGGGCTGGAGCAATTTCTTACATGGTTTATACATGTGTTTAGACAGTTTTATAGTTTCATATGAACTGTATACTGGGGTTTTAGCGTTGTTTTTTAAATCTAATAACAGACTTAGAAAATAGCAAATCATTGTTCCCCATATTTCTGTATTCACTACTTGTGGTCATTTGTCAAAGCAGCAGCAGTAAAAGTCATAGTGGTGTAGTAGAATTAGAAGTATAGTAGCAGTAGTAGTAGTAGTATCAGAAGTAGTAGTAGTAGTAGTAGTAGCAGTAGTAGTAGTAGTAGTAGTAGCAGTAGTAGTAGTAGAAGTAGTAGTAGTAGTAGCAGTAGTAGTAGTAGTAGTAGTAGCAGTAGTAGTAGCAGTAGTAGTAGCAGTAGTAGCAGTAGTAGCAGTACTCCACTCCATTCCAAACTCCACTCAGAAAGGCCCTGTTCCGACCGGGATTAGAACCCAGGACCTTCTTACTGGAACTCTGGAACTAATACAGGATCTCTTACTCTTCATCTTCATCTTCATCTTCATCTCAATCTCAATCTGTATGATCCTGAGGGGAGTGGACATAATGGAGAACAGAGGAGTGTGTGGTGATGTACAGGGTGAGAGGGGTGAGGGGGGGTGAGGGGGTGAGGGGTGAGAGGGGGTGAGAGGGGGTGAGGGGGAGAGGGGTGAGAGGGGGTGAGAGGGGGTGAGAGGAGGTGAGGGGGTGAGAGGGGTGAGAGGGGGTGAGAGGGGGTGAGGGGTGAGGGGGTGAGGGGGTGAGAGGGGGTGAGGGGTGAGGGGGTGAGGGGGGGGAGAGGGGGTGAGGGGTGAGAGGGGTGAGGGGGTGAGAGGGGGTGAGGGGAGAGGGGTGAGAGGGGGTGAGGGGTGAGAGGGGGGTGAGGGGGTGAGGGGGTGAGGGGGGTGAGAGGGGTGAGAGGGGGGTGAGGGGGGAGAGGGGGTGAGAGTGGGGTGAGGGGGTGAGAGGGGGGTGAGAGGGGGGAGGGTGAGAGGGGGTGAGGGGGTGGGGGTGAGAGGGGGTGAGAGGGGGTGAGAGGGGGTGAGAGGGGTGAGAGGGGGTGAGAGGGGGTGAGAGGGTGAGAGGGGGTGAGAGGGTGAGAGGGGTGAGAGGGGGTGAGAGGGTGAGAGGGTGTGAGAGGGGGTGAGCGGGGGTGAGAGGGTGAGAGGGGGTGAGAGGGTGAGAGGGTGAGAGGGGGTGAGAGGGGGTGAGAGGGTGAGAGGGGGTGAGGGGGTGGAGCGGGTGAGTGATGGGGGAGAGGCAGCAGAGCCTGAGGGACTATTGTGGAGTCAGACCCAGAGCAAGTGAAGGACACAGTGGACGAGTGCTACGCCTCACAGCGACAGGGTCCCAGTGTCTCAGTCATTAACCTGATGTCATCCAAACACTGCAGCTCCAGTCCAGACCAGAACCAGACCACATTAGTCCTGGTCTCAGTTCTCCGCGCTGTGGCTCCTGTGGCTCCTGTGGCTCCTGTGACTCCTGTGACTCTTGTGACGCCTGTGGCTCTTGTGGCTCCTGTGGCTCCTCTGGCTCCTGTGACTCCTGTGACTCCTGTAACTCATGTGGCTCCTGTGGCCTGTGACTCCTCTGACTCCTGTGTGACTCCTGTAACTCCTGTGGCTCCTGTGGCTCCTCTGACTCCTGTGACTCCTGTAACTCCTGTGGCTCCTGTGGCTCCTCTGACTCCTGTGACTCCTGTAACTCCTGTGGCTCCTGTGGCTCCTGTGACTCCTGTAACTCCTGTGACTCCTGTGGCTCCTGTGGCTCCTGTGGCTCCTGTGGCTCCTGTGACTCCTGTGGCTCCTGTGACTCCTGTGGCTCTTGTGGCTCCTGTGGCTCCTGTGGCTCCTGTGGCTCCTGTGACTCCTGTGACTCCTGTGGCTCCTGTGGCTGCTGTGACTCCTGTGGCTCTTGTGGCTCCGAGAATCGATTAAAAACAAAATTTATCAAAGGGACAAAACCATTTAGTCTTTTTTAAGGTCAAAATGTGAGATAATTAAGACCCATTTAGCCAAATTTGAGCCATTTCGGACATATTCTTCATCACTTTTTGCAGTGTGTATAATAAATATGTGTATTGTATGTATATAATTTATTCTCAGGTCAATTTCCTAAAAACGCATATAATATTTGGGTCATTTCTGAGTCATTTCCTGCAGAAAGCCAAAGCCACATTTCTCCAGAGAATCGTGTGGTCGGTACTTTCCCACGCTTCCAACCGCTTCATATTTATTTCAAATTACGCCGCAAACACAGTTATCTATCAGGTCAGCTCCCGTATCTCCTCCCCACACGAGTCGCCGCGGGCTCAAGTCCATGATCCCCCCCCCCCCCCCATCCTCCCCCCTCCCCATCCTCCCCCCTCCCTCCCCATTAAGACCTCTCACGGCGACAATACCCCCCAAAACACTCCCTCAAAGTGGATTAGAGCGAGTGGATTGAGCGCGAAGAGGAGGAGAGCGTGAGTCCTGTTGGAACGAAACAAAAATATGGATTTATTTTCAGCTCAATTCTTCACCAAAGAAAACACAGAAAACTGTTTTGGGCCAAGTTACAACAATTTTAGAGCAAAAAACATATAAACATTGAGTTAAAGCATTTTTAGACTGGCCTGGAGTAGACTAGACTGGAGGGACTGGCCTCCTGCTGGGACTCTGAGGAGCACAGGGACTGGCCTCCTGCTGGGACTCTGAGGAGCACAGGGACCGGCCTTCTGCTGGGACTCTGAGGAGCACAGGGACCGGCCTTCTGCTGGGACAGCTAAAATCTTGAACAGTCTTCCTGAAAATGTGAGACAGGCTTCTTCTCTGATTTGTCTTTACTTTTTTTAATGTACTGTGGTTATTCATGATTTTAATGTTTTTCTTTTGTGTTTTGAGTCGTGTGTGAACTGTGCCATATTCTTAGTCTTAAATATATTATAGCTTTGACTTCAGCTTCCCGTTGGAGAACTTTACGTCAGAATGTGTCGGATTAACATAAAAAGCACAGGATTAATCATGTTTTTACCACATATTTGATCTTTCTGAGACATTTTGCCAAATATTATAATTTTATTCAGATTTGTTTTACTTTTTTAAATCTTGTTTGCACCGGACACAGAAGCAAACTCCTCATTCTATCACCTCCTTCATGCCTGGCTTCTCTGTGAGGGCCTGGGTCTCTCTCCTCTCTCTCAAGGGCCCACCCACTTTCTCTCTCTCTCTCTCTCTCTCTCTCTCCTCTCTCTCAGGGCCCCCCTCTCTGCTCTCTCTCCTCTCTCTCTGCTCTCTCTTATCTCTCTCCTCTGTCTCATCCCCTCTCCACTCTCTTCCTCTCTCTTCCCTCCCCTCTCTCTCCTCTCTCTCTCCTCTCCCTCTCTCTCATCCCCTCTACTCTATCTCAGGGCCTCCTCACTCTCTCTCCCCTTGTCTTCTCTCCTTCTCCCTTTCTCTCTATCTGCCTCTCTCTATCCTCTCTCCCCTCACACTCTCTCTCAGTCTCTCTCTCTCTCCCCCTCCCACTCTCTCCCTCTCTCTCCTCTCTCTCCTCCCCTCACGCTCTCTCTTCTCCCTCCCCCCTTACTCTTTCTCTCTCCCCCCTCTCTCTTACTCTCTCTTCCCCATCACACTCTCTCTCTCACTCTCTCCCCCCTCTCTTTTCTCTCTCACCCTTACTCTCTGTCTCTCTTTCCCCCCCACGTTCTGTCTCTTCTCTTCCCCCTCACTCTTTTTCACGCTCTCTCCCTCACTCTTCCTCTCTCCCTCACTCTCTCTCTCTTCTCTCCCCCACTCACTCTCTCTCTCAGGGCCTCCTCACTCTTTCTCCCCCCTCACTCTCTCCCCCAAACTCCTCATTCTATCACCTCCTTCATCCCTGGCTTCTCTGTGAGGGCCTGGATCTCTCTCCTCTCTCTCAGGGGCCCACTTTCTCTCTCTCTCTCTCTCTCTCTCTCTCTCTCCCTCTCTCCTCTTCCCCCCCCCCCCCCCCACTCTCTATCTCTCTCTCTCCTCTCTCTCAGGGCCTCCTCACTCTTTCTCCCCCTCACTCTCTCGCCTCTCTCCCTCCTCTCTCTCTCTTCCCCTCACACTCTCTCCCTCTCCGCTCTCTTCCTCTTCCCCTCACTGTCTTCTCTCCCCCACTCACTCTCTCTCTCAGGGCCTCCTCACTCTTTCTCCCCCCTCTCTCCAACGTGTCTCCTGGGCCCCTCAGTCGTACGCCTTGTCTCCTCGGGGTCCGTCTAATCAGAGGAGACAAGCGGCCGGTGAAATAACGAGGCCTAATTGGCATCGGGAGTCGTGGGAACGCACAAACAAACAGCTGCCATTTTGTTCCCGCATTCTTCCCCTTCCAGAAGGATCCGTCGCCGCCGCCGCCGCAGTCGTTGGTGGCGGTGGCGAGGGCAGATGGGTTTAAGAAGAGAGGCCCCGTATCCAGGATTAAGCTAATGCATGCGCTAACTAAAAAGCATACACACACACACACACACACACACACACACACACAAACACACAAACACACACACACACATTTATATAAATACCTTGAGAACAACGGACTAGATAAATACAAGAACGAGGGAGTGGGATTATCCAGGGTTTACCAGGATGGATCTGGCCTCTGCCTTTGTGGGAGCGGCTGTAGCTGTGGCTGTGGCTGCGGCTGTAGCTGTGGCTGTGGCTGTAGCTGTGGCTGTGGCTGTGGCTGTGGCTGTAGCTGTGGCTGTAGCTGGCTGTGGCTGTGGCTGTAGCTGTAGCTGTGGCTGTGGCTGTAGCTGTGGCTGTAGCTGTGGCTGTGGCTGTAGCTGTGGCTGTGGCTGTGGCTGTAGCTGTGGCTGTAGCTGTAGCTGTGGCTGTAGCTGTGGCTGTGGCTGTAGCTGTGGCTGTGGCTGTGGCTGTGGCTGTAGCTGTGGCTGTGGCTGTAGCTGTAGCTGTGGCTGTGGCTGTAGCTGTGGCTGTGGCTGGCTGTGCTGGCTGTGGCTGTAGCTGTAGCTGTGGCTGTAGCTGTGGCTGTGGCTGTAGCTGTAGCTGTGGCTGTAGCTGTGGCTGTGGCTGTGGCTGTGGCTGTAGCTGTGGCTGTGGCTGTGGCTGTAGCTGTAGCTGTGGCTGTAGCTGTAGCTGTGGCTGTAGCTGTGGCTGTAGCTGTGGCTGTGGCTGTGGCTGTGGCTGTAGCTGTGGCTGTGGCTGTGGCTGTGGCTGTAGCTGTGGCTGTGGCTGTGGCTGTAGCTGTGGCTGTGGCTGTAGCTGTAGCTGTGGCTGTGGCTGTAGCTGTGGCTGTAGCTGTGGCTGTAGCTGTGGCTGTGGCTGTGGCTGTAGCTGTGGCTGTGGCTGTGGCTGTAGCTGTGGCTGTAGCTGTGGCTGTGGCTGTGGCTGTAGCTGTGGCTGTGGCTGTAGCTGTGGCTGTGGCTGTGGCTGTAGCTGTGGCTGTGGCTGTGGCTGTAGCTGTGGCTGTGGCTGTGGCTGTAGCTGTGGCATTGGCTGTAGCTGTGGCTGTGGCTGTAGCTGTAGCTGTAGCTGTGGCTGTGGCTGTAGCTGTGGCTGTAGCTGTAGCTGTAGTTTTAGCTGTAGCCGTTGCTTTTAATTTAGCCTTATTTCAAAAATTGCTGAAATAATCAATCACATCAATCCATGTTGTTCTAGGGCAAACATATGAAGGTAGCTCACACTTGTGTGAGTGTGAGAATCAGCTCCAAATCTGAGGCCATGCTGCTCGAACGGAAAAAGGTGCCTCGCCCTCTCCAGGTGGGTGGAGGGGTCCTTCCTCAAGTGGAGGAGTTCAAGAATCTCGGGGTCTGTGGAGAAGTTTCTCTGATAATTAAAAGTATGTAGGAGGATTTTCTACTTCCGGGTGGATCATCAAGACTATTGGTCCTCCCATTTGTTAATCATTCTGGAGATACGTGCTCGACCAATAAGACCAGAGAGTTTTGTTCAAGTGGTGAGGGCGGTTCTTTTTCTTACCTTTAAATCTCAAACTAAAGTCTATACAAAAAAATGGATTTTAGCTGGATTGACTGGATTCTGGAATTAGAAATGGGTTCTTCACTCACACAACAGCTGCATTTTAGTTGGAATGTTGCAACTCAATCATAAAACAGATGGCAGTAAATAAGAATGGAATCCAGAGGGTCTGAGATATACAACAGGGTTTAGAATAACTGTATCTGTAGTGGCCAACCTGTACCTGTGCCACTGAGATGTGCCCAAACACCGGTCGCTATGGCTGACGCGCTTCAGATGGCTATTGTGTCAGCTTTAACCGTAGCGTGCATAAATCCACAGATGTTCATTGTATAATAAAAATCAATGTTTATTTATGCATAAATCAAGACAACAAAACTCCATAAAAGTAGCGGTCAAAAACCATTGGCCCCTACCGGGTTGCACACCTGCATGGCTCATTAGAGAGAGCCTATTTATGCTAGACCTACCCTCCACAGACCTAACACACACAGGCGCACCCACAGGCCAATGGTTGCACATGTTTGGCTCTTACATTCCGGCCCCTAATTGATTATGATAACAAAACATAACAATTACAATCATTACACACAAAGAGCCAAATAAATCATACACATTACAGTTCATATTGCATTCAATCCACCTTTGAATATCACACTAAAAACTGTTATCCAGAGGACCACTAACAACCCATCCTAGTAGTGTTTTGGCTGCGTATGGGCCACTTCCTTTGCTTTTAATCACTTTCTGTGGTTCCACCAACCAAGGGGCATCAGTGCCCATTAGCAAGTTTACATCTGCATCTATGTTTGGGATGTTCACTTCAGAAAGGTGGGGAAACTTTGACAAGTTCTGAGAACTTATTAAACTATTGACAGTGACAGGCATTTTGCTCTGTGTGAATACCTGTGGAAGAGGATAAAAGTAATTGTTCTCCACACTAGATACCTCCAGGCCACAGAGAGAGAAGGCAGGGACCACGGATTCATGGCCCATAGTGCGCAGGAGAAAAGCTGTTCTTTTACCCGTGCACTGCAGCTTCTGCATCAGCTGTTCTGAGCAGAAAGTGGCGGAGCTCCCAGGATCTAAAAAGGCATATGTCTCAATAACCTTTCCTCCTGGAGCCTTAATCTTCACTGGGAGAATAGAGAGTGCACACTGGCCTGCACCGGCCCCTGTATGCCCACATGTTTTGGGATCCTCCTCAGGTTCCCGGGTGGCACTGCATCTTACAGTTCTGTGCAGGACAGTGGGGTGCATTCGTTCACAAACTATGCATGACAGTCTCTGCTCACATTGCCTACTGATGTGACCAACACACAAACATGCAAAGCACCGTCTCTCCTCCCTAAGCCACTCAATCTTCTCCTTATGATGCTTTTCCTTGAATGTCCCACACTCCTCAAGTGAATGACCATCACCACAGAAGATACATACTCCACCAGTACCATTGACAGGATTCTCCTGCTGACCCATAGAAGTCACGGTGGTGGCAAACACATGTCTATTGCCTCCACTTCTAGACTGAGCGCTAGTTCTGGAGAAAGACTGAGATTCCTGAATGTTTCCAAATATTGGATCAGAAAGAATCTTAACACAACGCTCAATGAATATGACCAAATCCTCAAACATAGCCTTTCTGTTACTGTCTTCTATTATTCCATATGAAGTTTCCCTCCATTGCTCCTTCAACTTAAATGGAAGTTTAGAAACAATAGTCCGCATATTTTGTGGCAGATTTAATTCCTCCATAAATGCAAGGTCTTTCATTGCATTGAAGCAACCACGAAGAAACAGAGAGTAGTCCTGGAGAGCATTGGCATCCTCTGACTTAATTGTAGGCCATTCCAATGCCTTCTTCAGATATGCAGAGGTAATCTTGAATGGATCTCCAAAATGTTCCTGAAGAAGTCCCTTTGCCTTGAGATAACCCTCTTCTGGATTCATATGCTGACAGCTCTGCACCAGGTCATGTGGCTGACCACGAGTGAACTGCCCTAAAAAGTACAAACAGTCAGCCTGTCCAGCCTTCCTCTCCACTAAATGTTCAAATGCCTTCATGAATGATCTGAAACGTAATGGATCGCCATCAAAAGTGGGAATAGTTCTTTGTGGTAGAGAGAGAGAAAGCTGCTGTTGTACCAATGCAGCCGTGATTTCATTTTGTTTCTGCATAATGCTAAAAATGTCACCTC